TCATGCTCAGATGCCGAGGAGCTCAGAAGGTGGGCGACTGTGACCAGTGATAGTCATGTATATAGAGATTAGAAATGCATGTAAAAACGTCTCAATGTCAATTGCCTTGGAATGAATTCTTCTGTATGAAAAAAAAACAAGTATCTTCTTGAAGTCCCTCAAATTAAGGTAAAGAATAAGAACAAATCATTCTGAAAGAATGCAAAGGAAAATAGATTTAGATATTTAAGTGACAATTGAATTTATTCTCATAATTGTTTTAATAGCTTTTGTATAATCTTCATCACTATTATGAGATATAAAATGTATTTAGCAAATCTGTAATCATTATGCCAAAAAAATGTGAATTACTGTAACATTTTGTATATTGTTAAAACTGTAACGTTAATTGTAAAAAAAAAATTTTTTTTTAAAGTTCAGTTATTCTAGGACTGGTGAGATGGCTCGTCTGGTAAGAGCACTTGCCGCCATTTCTGATGATGGCTCCATTACTATAGTCTGCTTTTAGCCAAGTTTACAAGTGAAAATTGGCAGCAAAAAATGTGAATTACTGTAACATTTTGTATATTGTTAAAACTGTAACGTTAATTGTAAAAAAAAAATTTTTTTTTAAAGTTCAGTTATTCTAGGACTGGTGAGATGGCTCGTCTGGTAAGAGCACTTGCCGCCATTTCTGATGATGGCTCCATTACTATAGTCTGCTTTTAGCCAAGTTTACAAGTGAAAATTGGCAGCAAAAAGCAGAATGGAAAGACTTGAAAAAAATTGTGGTTTGAACAGAAAAACTTATATAAAGTTGAAGTTATGGCAGAGGTGGTTTATGAGGAGATTGACACAGGTAAAATGCAGCTATCTGGATGTAGCATTGTGGCTGGAGATGTCCTGCCCATCACTTGCTGCTGTTCCACATGTCCTGTGCTTGAATTTTTACCTAGTAACAATGGCATAACCAGGATCACACTTCCCATCTTCAACAGACATTTATCCCTGTGTGTCTCCATATCAGATAGAGGATACAAGCCACGAGTGGATACCGTGAAAGCTACCATGAAGATGGACAAGATGAACATCAACAAGATTCCTGCCTAATAGCTGTCACTTTCACGAGGCAACAACTACACTCAATCCATTACTGGGTGTCTCTGGTACCTTGCTTCTTTCTGGTCCTGTGCCCTGTGACCTATGGTGGACTGCCTTCTTGAATACTGTGATGGTTAACTTGGGAAGGAGAGTCTCAATGAGGGATTGACTGTTTACGTTGGGTTGGACTGTGGGCACGTCTGAAGGGGAATTGTCTTAATTGAGTTAACTGTTGTGGGAAGACCCAGTCTACTGTGGGTGGCACCATTCCCTGGGCAGGGGGTTTCTGAACTGTGAGAGTAGAGAAATTGAGCAAAAGCAAGCCAACAAACAAACGTATTGCATATTTATTTCTGTGTATGTGCTGTGAAAACACCTCATTTGGCAATGAGCCTCAGGCCTGGCCTCTGCTCAGGAATCCGAGTTTGTGAGGTTGCCATTTCATAACAGCTGGGACAGTGGCTATGGACTCTGATACACCACTGTAAGCAGACACACCTAAAACCCACCCATGGTGATCACTGTCTGCTTCCAAGGGCATCACTGGGCTTCAGGGGACTAGAATTGGAAGATCTAGAGTCAAAGGTCAAGGGTCAAGGTTCATCATCCTTCATCAGAAGACACAATGGAAAGATCAGAGGGGCAGACCCAGGAGGGCACAAAGAGGCTACGGATAGAAGCCCAAACTGAGCTTCACCCTGAGGTTTCCATGTTCGCATGAGCACCACCACCGTAGGTCTGTCTCCAGTCAGGAACACTGGGCACTGGTTCAATGGCTCAGCCTGTGTAAGAACTCGAGGTCTGCCACTAGCCACCCTTCCATATCAGATTTGCATCACAACAGCTTCCTCAAAAACTGTATCTTGTTTATTTTTGTCAGTGACAGTTTTTTTTTCCTTTAGAATCCCTATTGCACTCTTCATCCAGAGTTTTCCCAATCTACACATCCATCCTAGGAAGAAGTGGACACATCAGTCTGTCAGTTACATGTATTTTCTTTCAAACTGGTTGCCAGGTTGGAAGGCTGATGACATCACAGGCTTCTATCCCTCCTGATTGGAAGGGACACACTCCATGATGCTAGGCAGGCTGCATAGTCAACAGGAGCATCTTCTCAGAGCTTCTCTGCTCATGACTTCTCCTACACTGGGACATCCGGTGTGATTCAGCCAGAGTCTAGAAGGAGGGTAGGAAAGATCAGACTCGACGTTCTGTGGAAGGGAAGAAAGAGTCTGAGAGAATCATGGCCACTGGTCCTCCAGCGTCACCATCTGAGAAACAGTGTCCTCAGCTTAGCACCACTGTGGCCTCACCTGAGGTGCTGGTGGGTAAAGAGACGCCAGGACCATTAGGTAAGGAGACCATGGTAAGAAGGTGGTGGTAAGAAGGATGGGTACAGAGGTGAGAAAGGAGGGACAGGATGAGGGATTGGAGAAGGGGAGGACAGGAGGTGGGACATGGACATCACGTGCATTGGAAACGTAGAGCAAGGGAGAGGAGGAATGGTAAGAGATTTAATTTGTTGCCCAAGGGAGAAATGGGCATATAATAAGGAGACTCGGGTTTCAAATGGGAGCAGGTGGGGGCGGGGGGAGAAGTGAGCTTCTTTCAACTGACCACTAAGAAAATTCAACCTCCAACGCACACATGGGAAACAAGGAAGAGACATGGAGGATGGTTTTGGTGATGGAGTGAGTTTAGGTCAGTGGTAGGAAAAACACTGACTGAGGTTCCTCAGAACCAGTAGACATATCAGTCCATCAGTTACACACATGTACTTTCAAACTTGTTACCAGTTAGAAGGTTGATGACATCACAGGCTTCTGCTCCTCCTGATTGGAGGGGACTCTCTCTGTGCTGGTAGGCAGGTAGTAGACAAGCATCTAATCAGAGCTGTCCGATCTTGAATTCTTCTTTGAATGGGGAGGGATCATTTAGTCAGAGTGGGATTTAGGCAGCATTCAGAAGGAGGCTGGCAGGGATCAGAGTCTAGGATTTCTGGAAGGGAAGAAAGGATCTGGGAGAACCTGGGAACTTGTCAACTGCCATTGGTGTGTTAGGAAGAGTCCTCAGCCAGGCATCAGCATGCTTTCACTTGAAGGGGCAGTGGATGGGGAGGTACCAGGACTGTCAGGTGAGGGGACCTGCTTGGAAAGCAACAGAGGTGTGGAACAAGGGACCTAAGATGAGGGATTGGAGGAGGGAAGGACAGGAAGTGAGACATGAATATCTCATAAACTGCAAACATACAGAGCAAGGAATGGACTAAGCGATGAGAGCCAAAGACAGGACAGGAAAGGGGGCACTATATATATATTGGCCGATGGAGACAAAGTGTCTATAATGAGGAAAAAATTTAGAAACAGTGGAGGGGACAGGAATAAGGTGGGGTGCTAGATTTAGCACACGGGGGAAATGGCACACTGATTGGAAAGAGACAAGAGCAGATGAAGCGGTTTGGGGTTGCTTCGGGGTGTCCTGGGGCTGGACCTACGTCATCAAGGGCCAGAGCTTCACACTAGGCTGGGGTTTCTTCATTCAGAACCCAGGGTGGAGACCAGCCCCCGACCTCCATCCACAAGCGTGAAGAGGAAGAGGGACGCTGAGGATGACCTGGAGGAGCTGGTGATCCCTGAGCCCCAGCCGGTGTGGGTGGTGGAGACGCTGTGCTGGCTCAAGAAGAAGATGAAGAGGCAGTGCGTGTTCACAGTGCTCCCCGAGTACCATGACCTCTTCACCAGGCTGCTGGGTAAGAGGCACCTGCTCAGGACTCTCCTGTCCAATTCCTCACGAAAAGGGAGAACTTTCAGTCACTCCACTTCTCCTTGGAAAAGCTGCCCTGATAACCCTCAGTGCTCTAGCTTAGGTTAGACTTGACTAAGGTCTGCATGGGGATAAGAAAACTGGGTGTCCACCATCCCCTCTGTAAGGTACTTCTGACTTTGCTGAATTGGGGTGTCTTCACTCACACATAAGCCACAGGGCCATGTTTACACCTGATTGTGACAGCAAAAGGAAGCATCCTCAGAGTATCTTCTGACCTGCAAAGTGGGGTGATAATGGCAATGAGGAGACATCAGTTTGTCAAAGCATCTTGGTCTAGGGATGGGGACGTAACTCAGTGTGGAATGCTTTCTAGCATGTGGAAGACCCTGGGTGGATCCCAGAAGCATGTACACACGAAAAACATCTTGTATGCCATTGATGCTCTAAATCTACCTCGGTGCCTCCTCCTGGCAGTGACCTACAGCACGGTCACTGTCCCTTGTCCAGGGAAACCTCTTCTCTATCTGCTACTGGGACAAAACTTGGGCACTGGGTTGAGCCTTCCCCCAGGGAGGCGGGCTCTCATGGCTTTCACTCCCAAGCTATTCCTGTTCCAACTCTTAATACATGTGCTCTGTTCACAGAGAATCCGATGGTGAAAAGATTTCTGGATTGGGACAAGACCCTGAGGGTGTCTGACAAGGTGAGGTGTTCTGGACGGGGCTGAGCTCTGCTCCACACCCCAGCTGGGACGGAGACACTAAACATACAGTCCTCTGTCCTTCCATGTCTTCACATGATGTCACAGTTCTCGTCCTTGGTTTCCTGCCAGTGCCTCTTTAGAGTTTAGCAGTACCTTCCTGGGGAGATGGGGGCTCTGATTCACTGGTGTCGTTTGAGGTCTAAAGTCAATGTCATTGACTTACCCTGAGCATTGTCTCTGCTGCCTCACCTGTCTGGTCCCTCTTATCTCCCTGCAGCTCTCTGGGTCCCTTTGCTCCAGCTGTGCAAATACCTCCTTGTGTTTACTGTCCTAAACCCTCCCTTGGAATTAACCTAGAGGTGGCCATGCTAGAGCAACAAGGGCTGCCTGGCTCTGACTTGGTTTACCTCAGGTGCCCTTCTACTGTCCCGCATACCAAGAGGCCACCTAAAACTGCAGGCTTCACTCTGACCGCATTCCTCTCCCAGCCTCCTCTTCCTCTGTCCCCATCCTACCTCTCCAGGGTGTGACTTCTCTTTTCTATTTCCATTTCTCCATCAGTACCTCATGTCTATGGTCATAGCTTATTTCAGCCGTGCTGGCTTCTTCTGTTGGCAATACAAGCCAATCCATTTCTTCGTGTCTCCACAGGGAGATAAATAAATAAATAAATAAATAAGAAAGTAAGTAAGTAAGTAAATATATAAATAAAGCAGCCATGCAAGCAAAAACCGAAGGGAACGTTGCCTGCCAAAAAAGGCAGGAAAAAAAAGGGGGAAATTTATTTAATGTGCTGGCTTCTGGAAGAGGGACAAAGAGATCCAGGGACAGCCCTCTATCTATCTGATTACTCCAGGAATGTGATCCCTGCCTCACCCTCTGCATTATTCAGTCTCCCACAAGGTTCCACTAGAGGCATCAGTCTGTGAGTTAGCATGAGCCCTCACTTGGAGTTTTGAGGACACATGGCAGATAATTTCATCGAAGCATACAGGAGACAAACAACTAAGTTCAAGGAGTTCCGGTGCCTAAGTTATTAAATGAACCTATAAGGTACAGGCACGGGACACCTCTTTAAGTGTCACGGGTCAGTCAGAGAACATTCGGAGGCACTCGAAGAAGAACACAACACCAGGTAGGTCCTACACAGAGGGGAGGGGAAGTTAGGATCATTCTCTGGAGCGATTCATCCCCATCTTTCAGCCAGGAAAATATCAAAATCAGAAGCTATACCCTCCTGCCCTAGCCTAGCCACATACATCACTGTACAAGCACATCCAACCTTGTTCATGACCACAAACTTAAAAAAAAAAAAAATGTATTCCTCTCTTTCCACAGGGGGTCGGGTCTCTCTCTCTCTCTCTGTCTCTCTCTCTCTCTCTCCCTCTCTCCCTCCCTCCCTCCCTCTCCTCTATCCTGCCCATCTGCTGTATGGTCCAGGCTGGACTCCCAGTCACCATCCTCCTTCCTCAGCTTGCCAAGTAACGGATTGCTTGCTAGCAAGCATGACAAATCCTAGGCACCAATCTCTGCCAGACAAGGTCAAATCCACTTTTGGGAAATGAGGAGCAAGGTGGCCAAATCTCTCAAATTTCTAAGGGCAGACCTCCCCGAAGACACACATTTAGAAAGCGAATCGAAGACCCGAGCGTTGTGATGTACGTATGCCTATTATCACCCCATACTTAAATAGAAAACTCATCAAGACAAAGTAAAAACGATCCAGAAGGAAAAGTCAGGAGGTCGGTGTCATCTCTTTGCAGGACTCAGGGGGGCAGGGATGCAAATGACCAGAGTCGTTACCGGGACAGCCAGTGAGGCCCTATCACAAAATGAAAACATAAAACCCACCAGATCACGGTGGTGCCGCCTCCCGGGGAAGCGTACAGGTACCCAACCCATGATCCATAACCGGCAGCCTGAACACGGACTCATGTCACGGCACCCGCTCCACCCACGGTGAGTCAATACAGAGAGACACAAGTAGACAATACCAGAGGATGGCATCAGAACTGTGGGAAGGAACCAGCCATTTTTGTTAAGGAAGCTTCAGAAGTTAGGACAGAATCAAAAAGCAGAGGAGTCAGGTGCTTTGCAAAAGCCACCAGAACTCTGCTGTCCTCTCTGTCAGGAGAAGGAACTGAAGCTAAGGAAGCAAGCAACCGCTGGTAGAAATCCCAGGGCTGGCTGACAGGCAGGCAGGCACTCTACCACTGAGCTAAATCCCCAACCCCGAATGAATTTTTTTTTCTTTCTTTTTTAAAGAACCGTACCTAGCAACCGTACCTATGCATCAGGGGAAGGAAACACAAATCAAAACTTCTTGGAGGTGGATCTGACCCGGGTTCGATTAACTCCAGTTCCAGGGGAATCCGATGCCCCAATCCCGCCCTGACCTCCGCCGCCTTGGCATCGCACGCACGACGCGGTACACCCATATAGGTGCAGGCGATACACTCGTACCGATAAATAAAACGTGAAAAGAAAAAAACAAAAAGCCAATTGGAGGTAGGTGTCACTTCACCCAAGTCCAGTGAGAACAGCCAGCATAAGGAAATCTGGTAGGAAACCAAACACACACGTTACCCTCATACATACATACATACATACATACGTACACACACACACTTTTCCAAAATTGTCTCTAGGGTAGGTATATTTGAAGTTTTAACGCATCTAGTGTACAAATATAAATCTGGGGGCGGGGGGTAGGGAGGCAGAAGGAGGCAGGAGCAGATGTGAATGAGAAAACGAGAAGCACTCAGATTCAATAGCTTCAGTCCAGTCCTCCAATGTTAATTAAGGCCATCCTAGCCTGGGGCTACAGGGAGACTACATCTCAAAAACAGAAACAAGAGAAGAACAAATCCTCCCTTCCGCTGTTTGTGGTCTGGATATTAGCACCTTGTCTGGTGGATAGCTGGTTAAGATTTGCCCCTGTTTTGTGGTGTGGTGGGCTTGTCTGATAGGTGATCTGCTGATAGATAGATAGATAGATAGATAGATAGATAGATAGATAGATAGATTTCTTTGCTGTACAGAAATTCAAGATTTCTCTCTGTCTCTCTCTGTGTCTCTCTCTCTGTCTCTCTCTCTCTCTCTCTCCCCCCTCTCTCCCTCTCCCTCCACTGTTGAAATAGCAAGTTCCCCTAGGCATTTCTGTTGCTGTGATAAAAACACTAACCAAAGCCAACTTTGAGCAAACACTGGGATAAAGATTGTAAGGTGGGAACGTGGAGCACACGTTCAACCTGGTTTATCGTCCCTACGTAGGTAAGTGCACCTGTGCCATGCAATGCCCGTGGAGGACATCAGCTACCATGTGGGCGCTGGGATTCGAACCCAGGCAGGTCTTCCGCAGTCTGGACCACTGAGCCATCTCTTCAGCCAGCTAGCCAGCCCCCAATCTGTTTTATTACACCAGACAGGACCATCGACCACAGTAGGCTGGGCCCTCCCTCCTCATATCCCTCAACAATCAAGAAAATGCCCCCCACACAGGTGTGTCAGCTAACACATTTTTATACTTTTTTATAGGGTTGCATCCACCAGACAGAACCTCGTTAGGTTTCAATGAGACTACCAGTACAGATGCATACGTATCATAGGGCCTTCTGCAGGTATCTTTACAGAAGCAGACCGCCCCCCCCCCCCGCCCAAGGCAGAATTTATTTCAAGCAAGCTTGTTATATTAGCTTAGTAGGTATTGAGGGAATGCAGAGATTCGTAACTAGTGTGCAGGAAGGTGTGCTGGCTTTCGGGCAGGACAGGACAGACAGACAGACAGACAGACAGACCGCCAGCACACACGCACGTACGTACGCAGAGGACTGTGGTACTTTTAAGGTTGTGGCATCCGATACCGTGGCCATATTGTTAGAAAGAAAGAAAGAAAGAAAGAAAGAAAGGAAAAAAATTGTTGTTAGGCACCCCAAGGCTTGAACATAGCTATGCATGCATGGCAAGAGCATAGTGCCTTTACCATCTGTACTTCTGTCTAAAAAGGAAGGCCTTGAAGTCAGGGAGTGGGGTAGGTAGAGTGGCCTTTTGCTCTTTCACCAACTAACACAACACACACAAACACACAGACAGACACACACACAGACGCACAGACACACAGACAGACAGACAGACACACACACACATACACACACCTTTTAGAGTTCTCTGAGCCAAGTTGAGCCAACGAGTTTATTGAGCACACACACTGACAGAACATGGATTGTGTTATGTGTGTTCCGTGCTGCACCCACCCGCCCCACCCCCACCCCCACCCCCACTCCCCCAAAGTTTCAATATTCCAAGACGTTAAAGATCAG